TTTTTTTTTTTAGTTGTTTTTTTTTTTAAATAAACCAGTCTGATCCATATCTCAAGTAGTGCTCACTAGCAGGATTCGTATTTTAAGCGTTTGAGGGTGGGTCCTTCCAGTAGAGATGGTGAAGGAGGTTGCTCTTGTTACCATCAGGTGCCGTTGAGTAGATAGCGACAGCTCATCAGCAGATCTGAATGTTGCCCTCTGCTGTGCCGTCCTCATATTTGGCATGCTCAAGGCAGTTGTTAGTCACTGTCAGTTCATCTAGCTCAGGATCTTTGATCCTCTGCATTTCCCAGTATGTTTTCTGAAGACTGGCTCCTCCTGGCTCAATGTTTGTGAGAGACAGTTTTACCCATTCTTGCCGGTAAAAGCATTCTGGTTCCTCCAAGACTGACTTGTTCCTTTAGCAGTCCCTAAGATACTCCGTACTCTGACACAGTTCAGACATCAGTTCTTCTGTCATTCATTGTCCAACTTTCAGATGGATAAGAAGCAATTGAAAATACCAACGCCTTGGGTCAGCCACACTAGTCTAGTCTCCTGTAAAGTTTTCAGCCTTGGAAATCCTGTGGGACAGCTCTACTGTCTTAAAATGTTGCTGTTGGAATTGACCCAGTGACACTTGGTTTGTTTTTTGGTGCCAACATGAACTTTGATCATCTCTTGGTTGCTGTCAAGTTAGAACTGACTTGTAGTCTTCAGTGATTTTCTGAACAAGGTTGTGACCTCTGTGTGGTGGTAAACTGAGGGCTCTGGTTTTTACCTCCATACCTACTGTGTGTATGCTGATCAAGTTTAAGGCTAGACCAACAGCCTGCACTGTGCAGATGCCATAACCTTGCTGAAAGAACTTGAAATGGTTGCTGCATAGTCAATACAGCCTTTAATGTAGATTCTGTATTGACACCAAGATAAAAATCTGCACCACTTAGGTACATAGGCAACATCATGATAGAAAAAAGATTGAAGCTGTCAATTTTTTAAAAAAATTTTTATTTTGTATGTGAGTGTACGTCAAATTGTTTCTGACTGGTACAGGAGGGAGATTGCCTCTTCTCCAGCAGAGCATTTGGGGAATTCAAACTGCATATCTCTGGGATTGCAGTGCAACTTCTTGCCGCTAGGCCACCAGAGCTCCCTAGTTGTCAATCATTTAATCTCACTTGGATCCACAGTCATCACCCCTGGTACCAGCAGTCCAGAGATAAAAGACTCCTTGCATTGAGGAAATGCCCATTACCTCTCCGAGGTGCAAAGGAGAAGAGACGACTAGTGTACTAGTTCAAGCCATGGTTTTTTGAGTTGTGTAGTGTGTCTATAAAAGTGGACAATGACTAAGAATTGTTGAAGAGAATGAACTACCCCATAGACTACCAAGAGAAGGATTAATGGTTGGAACCAAGATGGTCACTGTGAGATAGTTCCAACTCCATGGTACACAGCAACAACAAAACCAAAAGAACAAACATGTCAGGGCAACCAGGGTGCTAGTTAAAGGTGCAAAGCTTCATCTCACAGACATGGGCATGTTGGGAGGTGCCAGTCCTTGGAAATGCATTCCGGGAAGAGGATTAGAGAGAAAGGCTGAGATGGCTTGACACTGGCAATGGCCTTGAGCACAGCAGACTGAAGATGGTGCACAATAGGGCAAGGGTCAGATCTGTCCTTAGAATTGCTAAACAGTTGTAGTAGATGGCACGTAACAATGTACTGGCGCCGTAGCTGAGCCTATGTTGGCGCCTTGAGTAGAAAGTAGACCTGAGGATAGGACGTGGGAACAATAAGCTTTGAAGAGGAGACAAGTTTTCTTCCCTCGGGAGGGAAATGGAGAAGCAGTGGTGTCCAACTGCTGCTAGATCTTTCCTAGGCTGACAATTACTGGGTTTGGGGGCCCTTCTCTGCTTTAAAATTTTTTTTTTTAATTTC